TCATGTATGTGAAAACATCTGCCAAGGCTGGAGTTACCTTGACAAAGGGGGTGGCGATGCTCAACACCTCTGTTGCCCCCATGCTGAATCCTTTTATCTACACTTTAAGGAACCAGCAGGTGAAACAAGCATTTAAGGATCTTGTGAGAAAGGTACTTGCCTCAAAAACACTTATATGATGTAGATGACAAATGAAGCATGGGACAATTTCGACCATAAAGCTAATGAACATATCTTTGTTTTAGTTCATCTCAGAAATGCTACCCTTAATGCGTTTTCTACATTCAGCTTACAGTTCACTTAATCAATTTATGAGCAAGAACATTATGGGATGGTTTCTAATGCTATATGAAATGAAGTAATTTTGAATTATAGCTTATGTATTTCAAGTAATACATATATCAATACATCGTACATAATTTTGGAAAGATTAAGACAGGGAAACTTTGTTAATTCATGTATGTGTTAAACAAATATGTGCACAAATATTCTTGCATGTATGTTTATGTGACTATGTTTGTGTGTGTATATATATACATGTATATGTATATATATTTTTACTTTGGTGGTGTTAGATAATATAATGAATATATTGTATTTTTTATAGTTGTTATCATTTTTTAAATGAGACATAGAGGAAATTTAATGATATGATATGGGAATTATCTATTTATAAGCCGTTTATTGAAAGTATGAAGTTCTCAAAATAGAAAAAAAGTGAAAATAAAAACAAAATAAAATGCTAAAAGGAAAATGGAGATATTTATTTTTGTACCAAACATAAAACTTAATTTGCAACTTAATGTTTCAAAATGGAGTTCTGTTTATGGTTATGATAGTGAATCATCAGAAAAATATGTAATTTTTCAGGTAATTGTAGATTATTTTTATATTTGTCGTGTTTCTAATTATTATTTATAGTGGTTTAAAAACAAAAAATGAAGTACAGCTTTAAGAATAATTAAACTAATTATTATTCTCATAGGGAGGAAAGAGAGAAGTGAAGGTGACGTGATTCTACTTCATTTAAATATATTTTAAAAACTTCCTGTTTTTCAAATTTTTACAATTACAGTTGTTACCCTAATAAATGGACAATAAAATATTTTTATAAAATATATTTCTTAAAAGAGGGACCACCCTGTGCCTCTGGACTAATCCTCTCTAGAACTGATACATAAGAAAATCCACGTAGGTAGGACATATTCATACTTTTATATGATTTGTGGCATGGACATATCCTTGCAAGCAATTGCACAGTCAAGGCACTAAACTTCCGATACAAAGTTTCTTTTCTCCATTTAGTTTTGTTATTAGTTTTTTTTTTTTTTAAAAAAAAACGGCTTATATGCTCAGAAATAAATCTACTCTCCTCACAAAATTAAATGTACAACATAATGAGGTCAATTATACGGGAAGTGTTCTACAATATATCTGTCTAAAAGTTATTCATCTGTCATGATTCAATATTTTAATAGCAGATTCACAATCCACCAACTCTCCATCCATACACAGAGACCACCATTCTCTCTGGATTTGAATACTTTCATTATAGCATATTTGGAGAAGTGCAGTGTCATTTCAGAGCTGGCCTACTTGATTTTGTATGGTGTCTTCCAAGTCCATCTATGCTATGCCATATGGAAATATTTCCCTATAGTTTTATGTGGAATAATATCCAATAATATCTAATATATGTGATACATTTTATTTATCCACAACCTCTCAAAGGACATTAATGTTTTTACACATCTTGAATCTTGTGAAGGATGATGTAATGTACACACAGTATGTCTTGAGGGTTCTGGTATGAATTTTGAATACACATCCAACGATGTTATAATTACATCATTAATAGCTCTATTTTTAAAATGGCTTTTGTGCACATTTATTACTACTTTATTCATGTGTATGTTTGAGTTGTGTGTGTGTGTGTGTGTGTGTATGTGTCTGTGTCTTAGTGTTGGCACAGAACAGGTTTAGAAGTCTGAGGACAACTTGTAAGATTCAGTTCTCCCTTCCACCACGTGGGACAAGATTGTCAGGCTTGGTGTCAAATTCACTTACTTGCTCGGTTCACCTTCTCAACCTAACTAGTTAGCTTGATTTTAGGTTGTCTGGGGGAACACTCAGGACATTCTTTGCAAAATCTGCAACATTTTAGTATTTCCAATGGCACACTTTCTCTTCTGATACTTGACAACTTTAGCTATTTTGGGTGGGAAATGACAGTCACCCAAATCTCAGTGCTTTTTGCTTTTTCTTGATAAAGTCTTTTCTAGCTATGTGTCACAAGCATTTGCTGCCTGTCTCAGACCTAAGCGCTAGGATTACAGGTGTACTCCACTGCCCTTAGTTCCACATTACTTAGGAAAAATAGGCATTCAAACCCTTGAAGATTTTACAAATCTTGAGTTGAAAGGTACTCCTTATATATTTTTATGTTCACATCTCACTAAGAATATGGTTTATAAAAATTTGTTTACATGCCACAAGCTGCCTTTATTTCTCCTGCTCACTTCTCTTTGCAGAAGCTTTTCTGATGTCTTCCTATTTATCTACATTGCTTGATTGTTGATTCATTCTCTGTGAGCCCTTTTGAACTCAGGTTAGTTGATTCTGTGGGTTTTCTTGTGGTGTGGTGCCCTTGACCCCTATGTCTCCTACAATATTTCCTCTTCATCTTCTGCAGGATTCCTGGAGGTTCGCTTAAAGCTTGTCTATGGGTCTTTCTTAACAGTAAATTGAAACATCTCATACAGTGTGTGGCAACATCGTCTCATACAGAGTGTGGCAACATCTTATGGGGCAAAAAGTCATTTTTCTAGCTGCTTCTGGCTTTCTACTATTTTCTCACTTCTTTGGTGAGCACGAATGAGACCATGTAGCTACAGTGTTCTTATCCAAGCACTTGGAGATTAGAGCACTTACTTTCTTGATCCGTGTTTCCTTGGTTATTCTAGTTTTCATTTGATTCAGCAGTTTGTGTCAGATCCTTAACTACTATAAGTAGCATGAAAATCATTTTATTTTGTTTGTTTTCTTCAAAGAGTTTCCATTCAATACAAAGATATTTGGCAACAAGAACATTGATGAATCCAATAATAACATTTAAACAACGTAAATCAGAAGAGTTAGATAATAAAAATTAGAAAAATAGTATGCTTGGAGGAATAATTAGAATGAGAGTTAAAGATCTGAATAAATAATTTACACAAAAGAAGAATGCAATAAAGACTACTGACTTTTGACCACCACTCCCAGCTACTGGGAAATGTGTTGATTTCTGTTCATGTCCCCAATTCTATGAACATTTTCCTTAGATTGAAAGTTATTGGTAGCAATGATGGTAAACCTGAGTCTGCAAAAATGTTTCCAGAATGAACAAATAAGTAAGCAAGTTTTACGGCCAAACGGTCCATCTTCAAAAACAAGTTTCTTTATAACATCAATTAATACTTGGATCCAAAATAAATAAAGACATAAATCACTAAGGTGAGTAAGATCCTCCAGGAATGTCTCCCACAGGTACACCAATTTGTACATATCATTACACATCCAACTTCCTTCAGAAGAGATATGGAAGCCACACTGAGAGTAAGTGCCTTGACTTACAACAACAATAAGATGCATTGAAAGCATCATTGAGCCAACTTGCTTTATCTAACTTACTGTTCCAGGTCTAAGCATCATGGGAAGAAATGTTCTTTATAGAAGAGAAGGGAGTAAGTCTAGGTCTCATATTTGAGAGCCAGTAACAGTGCTGACATGATGAAACCCAGCATCAGGGTGAATACAGTAATGCCACCAGGCCTGAATCCATAGACTCAGTCACCATTGCTGAATTCTTCCATTGTCCTTCCACCAACCTCAGACAGCAGAGAGAAAAGTAAGACACCACTTGCCAGGGAGCAAGAAATGAAAGTTCCTGAAGACTGTGCTTTGCCATTGAAAACCAGACCCTCTCATTGTCCTTCTCCAAAGAAAACCCAAAGGCTTTCATTCCTAGGTCAGAGTTCTCTAACTGGTTGAACCCTGAAGCTCACAGGGACAGATTTATTTGGACTTAGACCATCACGATCGCCATCCCTCATTGAACTAGAGCACTATTTCTCTTCTAGTGATTGCACAGGCTGTTGTGGTACAGTCCAGCATAGCATTAGCCTTGGCGGCCAGGAGACTATGCAGCATCTCCTCTAGCCTCGGACAGCACAGCAATTTTTATGTTGGTGAGGAAAACCTTACACTCTAGAGCTGCCCACACCACACTGAGACAAGGTGTGGCAAGCATCTATACCAGTCTGAATCATGACCAGCTGTATCAGGAGCCTGAACATACACTGAGATTGTTGATCTTCGTGATTGTGAGATTCATTTGTAAACCAGGTTAGCATCAGTCTTCACTGCCAAAGGACTGCTTTTAGCAATGATACCAAACCTAAAAAAGACCCAGTGAGTCAATTATCTATCTATTAAATAATATTTTATTTTCTATGCAACTTTAAACTTTATCTAATACAAATAATAAAATACCAAATAATTGAACTACATGATTCAGTTAACAGGAAATAGTACTTTTTGTTTAAAAGCGTCACTTCATAAACTAACCCATAAAATTATTTTTAAGGAATAGGCTTTCTTAGATCACTTTTAGCATGTAGAATAATTACAAAATTACAATCATCAAAGGCTTTTAAAGGATAAAATTATTAAGTGAGATAAAGTCTATTTCTTCAAGTAACAGTCATTTAATTATTTGTGTTTACTGAATTAATATATGCTTATAAATCAAAACAATTTTGTATTTTATATTATTAGCATAAAAAAGACTTTCATAATGAATAAAAGAGAAAGTAAAAAGGCACATGACGGATTAATTTCTAACCTTGGACAAGTTAAAATTGTACAAATAATTACTTTCTAGGTATTCATTGTTAAAATAAAAACTGAAATTTGTTTTCTGCTTCAAGTTCCTTTTATGCTTTAGGTTAATCATTTAATTAAACGCTATTCCTTTGTGAAGCAGAAGATATTCTTCTAAGTACTGCTGCAAAGGCTTGTTTAACTTGCTTATTCCTCAGCGTATAGATGAATGGGTTTAACAAAGGGGACACTGAAGTGTTGAGTACAGCTATTCCTTTGCTCAAACTAACTCTTTCGTTTGCTGATGGCTTTATGTAGATAAATATGCAACTTCCATAAGTGAGGGAAACAACAAGCATGTGAGAAGAGCAAGTGGAAAAAGCCTTTTTCTTTTGCTGAGCTGAAGGGAATTTGATAATCGTCTTGACAATGTGAGCATAAGAAAGGATTACTACTGCTAACGTGACAATGAGTGTCATGAGAGCTAAGACGAAGGAAGTTAGTTCTAGAACATGTGTGTCTGAGCAAGAAAGTTGTAGGACAGGAGAAACGTCGCAAAGGAAATGGTCAATGACCTTTGATGCACAAAAATCCAAGTCAAGGCCAATAATCAGTGGTGGGAAAATCACTAAGAATCCAGTTATCCAAGAACCCAGGACAAACTGATGGCAAACTTTGCTGCTCATGATGGATGTATAGTGCAAAGGCTTGCAGATGGCAATATAGCGGTCGTAGGACATGGTAGCCAAGAGGAAAAACTCTGTGGCCCCCAAGAATATGTAAAAGAACAATTGACATATACAATCATTGTAGGAAATTGTCTTTTCCTTGGTTACAATGGTTATTAAGAATCTGGGAATGCAGGTAGTTGTGAACAAAACTTCCAATAAAGAAAAATTACGGAGGAAAAAATACATTGGTGTCTTGAGGTGGGGATCTAACAGTGTGAGGGCAATGATAGTTAAATTTCCTAGCATACTCAGCAAGTAATTTAGCAAAAGACACAAAAAAATTACAATCTGTAGCTGAGAATTATTTGTTAGTCCAAGAAGGGTAAACTCTATCTGTCTTGTATGGTTCTTCATTTTTCTTTGTGATCTCACTGAAGTTCTAGAAAAAAAAAATATAAAATCCATGTGAGAAGGTGTGTATCCAATAAACAATAAATTACAGGATCCATATTTCTAAACACAGCCCTTTCAAATGTAATATTCCTGTATATTGGAGATATGACAGCAACTATATGCCAACAATTCTCCTGTAAGTGTTTAAAGTAATAGAGACTTCAACTCACTATGGAAATTAATCTGAGCAACTTGTAAAAGCTTAATTTTTCTACTCTTTCAATATAAACTTTGAGTTAATTGTAACTAATTATGGATGATCTTTTAAATTAGTAAAAAGCTTTGTACCGGAAATCAATGACAATTTATATTAAGTATAAGATTATTTATCTTACCTACGTGTAATTATGACAATGTGACTAATCTAAATTTATAGTTTAATTAGTAAGTTTTAAATTTCATGCTAAAGTGTAAGTCTTGTTACCTCTCATAGCGTTTCTGTGAATTACAGACAAAATCATAGAGGAATATAATCAAGATATTTAAGTTTAAATGACAAAGTATATAATAGTTCAATATAAATTGAACTATTATAATATAAATTGAACTATTATACAATAAATTTCAATAAATTGAAAGAGCTGATTAAATAATTATAACCCAATTTATCCAAAATTCAAGACATAAAATAATTGTTTTAAACATCAGAATTTTGTAATTTGCAATCAAAATCATAAAAATAAAACAGGACACAAAAATGCATTGCCTCTTCTTATGAAGAGGTCCTTGGTTTGACAACTATTTTCACCATGTAACACTGTAAGACTGAAAAACAGATTGGTAATATCTCATTATGCTCTTTATATCCTGGTATCCTCAGCAACTACTTATCATCCAATAAGTGACTATTAACCAAAGATGAGTTGGTATAAAAGGTATGTACTACTTGAATGAGATTACAACATTCAGGTAGTATTTTGCATTTGCAACTCTATGTTCTTATTGTGTCTTACCGCCAATGGTGAAAAAGCAACAGCAAATGAATTTAGTCTGGATACTACCAAAGAAAAAAATAGAACACAAGAAGCATTATACTGTTAATATAACATGCTTATTAGAATTTTACAATTGATGTCAGAAATCTCTTGGAATCTTTATTCTATCATTAATTGTTCTTTAGTCTGGGAAAATTAACTTATCTCAGTTTTCGTCTTATAAAGTATGTAAAGCAGTTTTAACTTCATCTACAAAGGTCAAATGAAATGAGCACAGAGAACTACAGCGTCTAGTTGCAATTAAAAAAAAACACAAAACACTGATAGACACAGGTATGGTGGCGGTTCTTAACAGCTGTAATTTAAAAGGGGACAGAAATACCACATTTTTATTATTAAGTAAATGTCACACTTAACAGACATGCAGCATTCAGAATGTAGAATGTTCTGAAAGCATGCGGGTTTCAGTGAGTATGCTAAGAGCATTTTAAGATCCAATAAAAAGAAACTGAAATTATGTCTGTAGCATCTTTGTTTAAAAACACACTATCTTTTACAGATACTACTAAAACAGTGTTAGAGTTTACTTATCAGTAACATGTAGTTTAATGTTCATGGAATTAATTTCAATTTTTAAATTTAGACATAATATTAACAAATTAAGTGATTTTTTTGTGTTATTAAATTTATACAAGTCAGCTTTGAAATCCTATAGACTCAGTAGTTACTCGAGCATATAACCAGATCTGCTGAATTTGATTTAAAACAGTAACAATATATTCTTTAGCCAATTCAATAATAGTAATAATAATAATAATAAATACTTCAACGAAATTTAATTGCTAATACTTTTAAAGCATGTATTACTTGAGAAAAACAATGAAAAAGTCAAACTTCTGATAATGTTGAGAAAAATATTGTTTTAAAAAGGTTATCTTAGAAATAAGAGACTGTGAAGGTCTATATTTAAAAAACTAAAATCATAAGGATTCAATATGTGTGCGTGTACTAAAACTATTCTGTTATTCTCCTAATAATATCTCACTGTGTTTGACAATATTTGTTCCCATCTGCTGCAAGAAAATTTTCTTTGATGATGTCTAAGCAAGGCACTGGCCTATGAGTATAGTGGAATGTTATTAGGAATCATTTTATTGTTAACATTCTTTGAGTGGAACAATAGTACTCGACTTTACCAATGGTCCCTGGGCTATCTACTCTCAGGTTCTTGTTCAAACAGTAGTGTTGCATAAGGGTTCTGTCTTTCAAAGTCAACTTTAAGTCAAATCAGATACTGGGTGGTTACACCCACCAGTTTGTGCCACCATTGCACCAGCACAGCTTACAGACAGGACACCATTGTAAATAAAGGACTGTGGCTGAGTTGTTGTTCATGTTTTTCCTTTAGTGGTATGCAAAGTTCCTTCCTTTACCATAGCATAGCACACATGGGTGAAGGCTTTATGTAGGCTCCAGCTGAACTTCCCCACATGCAATGAGTTGTGTGGTGTTGTCTTCACCAGTGAGATCTTGCCATCAGTTTTTGGAGAATAATCTGTAGTTTGGCAACAGCCTGGGTTGTTAAGGGGTTCCCATGGGCCAACATCTCAATTAGATGTATACAGTACTGGTTCTTGAAGCCTACTTTGGTAACAAGAAATGGCCAATTGGGGCTCTGTCTCCCTCATTATTTGGTGATATCATTTACTTTGCCTTCATATATGTATATATTTTAGGAAACTTCTACTGTATTAAGTCTTCATACTACCCTCAAATGACCCTTAATGTTAGCTGCATTTCATTTTATTCCCTTCCTCTTCTCCTTCTTTCCAACCCCTCTCCACTTGTCCATTCTGTTTAACCCTTCCCAATCCATCCACAACAACCTATTTTATTTCCCTTTTCTAGTAAGAGCTATCTGTGTGCCTTCTCATCCCTTACTCTATACTTAACTTCTGTGGTTCTAAAGATTGTAGTCTAGTTTTCATTGACTTAAGAGCTAATATCCACACATAAGCAAATACATACCATATTTGTCTCTCTGGGTTACCTGACTCAGGATAATTTTTCTATTTCTATCCATTTACCTGTAAATTTAATTTTTTAAGAGCTGGGTGTTATTCCACTGTGTAAATATACCACATTTCTTTATTTATTCATCTGTGAGGGGAATCTAGATTACTTCTCGCATTATTACTAAAGTAGGAGTGGCTATGGTTGATCAAGTTTCTCTGTAGGAGGGTGAATTTCCCAGGAGTGGTATAGCTGACTCTTGGTGTAGATCTATGCTCAGCTTTATGAGGAAATGCCACACTGATTTTCACAATGACTGTACAAGTTTACACTCCACCAGCAATGGATGAATGTTCCCCTTACTCCATATTCTTGCCAGCATGAACTGTCATTTATTTCATTGGTCTTGAGTATTCTGAAGGATATAAGATGTTTTGTTTTGCATTTTCCTGATGGCTAAGGATGTTGAACATTTCTTCTAGTATTTCTCAGGAATTTGAACCCCTTTTCAAAATTCTCTTGTTATATCTGTACCCCATTTTAAAAGTTGTGTTGTTTTCAAGACATGTATTTTCAGAGTTCTTAATGTATTTGGATATATCCTTCTATCAGATGTATAGTTTGTAAAAATCTTTTTTCATTCTGTAGGTTGGCCTACAAATAACATAGTCCTTACATATACTGAAGCTTTTCAGTTTCATGAGATTCCATATATCAGTTGTTGAGTTTAGTGCCTGCTCTAGCAGTGTTCTGTTTAGAGAGTCTTTTCCTGCGCCAATGAGTTCAAGGTTATCTGATTTAATATTGAGGTCTTTGATCCATTTGGAGCTGAGCTTTGTGAAGAATGCTATACATAAAATTATTTGCATTCTTCTACATGAAGAAATTCAGTTTGGTCAGCACCATTTGTTGAAGGTGCTGTAATTTTCCCAGTATGTATTTCTGGCTTCTTTATTAAATGGAAAAAAATCAACAGCTGTCAATAGGTATGTTTACTTTTGTCTGTATCTTAAAGTTGATTTCATCGATATTTGTTTCTGTTTTTGTGCCAATACCAGCCTGATTTTAATACTATAGCTCTGTAGTACAACTTGAAATCAAAAATGGTGAGACCATACTAATTTCTAACAAAGTTGACTTCAAACTTAAATCAATCAGAAGAGATGGAGAGGGACATTTTATACTCATAACAGGAACAATTCATCAGGATGAAGTCTCAATCCTGAATATCTATGCCCCTAATATAAAAGCACCCACATACGTAAAAGAAACATTACTAAAACTCAAGGCAGCAATCAAACCGCACACACTAATAGTAGGAGACTTCAACACTCCTCTCTCACCAATGGACAGGTCAGTCAAACAGAAACCTAACAGAGAAATTAGAGAATTAATGGAAGTAATGAAACAATTGGACTTAACAGACATCTATAGATTATTCCACCCAACGAGGAAAGAATATACCTTCTTCTCTGCAGTTCATGAAACCTTCTCAAAATTTGACCACATACTCGGTAATAAAGCTAACTTACACAGTTACAAAAAAATATTAGTAACCACCTGTGTCTTATCAGATCACCATGGATTAAAGTTAGAATTCAACAACAATGCTACCCCCAGAAAGCCTACAGACTCATGGAAACTGAACAGTCAACTACTGAAGCATAACTAGATTAAGGAAGAAATCAAGAAAGAAATTAAAGTATTCCTTGAATTCAATGAAAATAAAGAAACAACATACTCGAACTTATGGGACACTATGAAAGCAGTCCTAAGAGGAAAGTTCATCGCACTAAGTGCCCACTTAAAGAAAACAGAGAAAGCACATATTGGAGACTTAACAGCCCAACTGAACGCTCTTGAAAAAAAAGAAGCAGACTCACCTAGGAGGAGTAGGAGACTGGAAATAATCAAACTGAGGGTGGAAATCAACAAAATAGAAACACAGAAAACAATCCAAAGAATCAATGAAACAAAAAGCTGGTTCCTGGAGAAAATCAACAAGATTGATGAACCCCTATCCAA